TGTTTGTTTATTGAATCAGACCATATGAGACTAAAAGGCGGGAAATTCTCACTTCTGGTTAACAAATGAACGTACAGGGTCACTTAATATAACAAAACGTCACGCACCTCTAGGTCAAAGGTCATATAGCAACTGATATACCTATTTCCGGTTCGTCTGTGCCCTTAAATTAACGTTTGTTATTTTTTTAAAAAAATTACAAGAGAAGAAAATGAGAGCTTATCGTAACTAGTGACATTGAGTTACCTCCCCCTGTCCCTCTCATGCCGCTTAGCACCTTATGCATACCTTTAATGTATCAACGATATTGATCAACTATGTTACTGTAGTCCACAACCAAACTGAATTGTGATTAAGGACATTATCAACTAGCCTGCAATCAGTCGGCCATCTAGCCCCTTAACCCCACCCCTACTCTTCGTCGTCGGACCAAAACCGGATATCTTTGTTAGTTTCTACAATTGAAACTCCCACATCCTCAAATCAAACGACAATGTGATAAAGTTGAATAGTAACCAAGAGCACCGATATCAACTCCATGTCATTTAGTGGAGTGAAAATGATCCTAATTTGATAAGATGTATCTCTTTGCTTGATTACCTCCAAATTACCTCCCTTGAAACCATTTTCTATGCCTAATTACCTTTCTTGTATACAGCAATTCCAGGCATAAATTACCCCCCTTGAATAAAATCTTCAATCTAAAGATAGAAATAGTAATCTGTTTCCGGTTAACGCTGCAAATTATCGCCCCTGATTAATCTTCAATCTTACATCTTTTAAAAAATCACAAAGGTACTAATTAAAAAGTAATGTGCTTCCGGTTCTAGATTTGAATTATCGCCCTTGAATAATCTCTAATCTAAAAGACACAAACAGTAATCAAAATGTAATCTTCGTTCGGTTCACTGATGTTTTGGTTTGGAGAGTATGTCATGCGTAACGAGTAGAAAAACTCATTTCCGTTTTCTTCTTTTCAAGCCGACTCTTTTAGTGTTTATCGACCATTTCCGCTCGTAGCCAGACGAACAATGTACATAAAACATATTTATTAGGAAAACCAGACTACAGAAGAGATGAGTTGATAGAAGTTTTTAGTTTTGCTGAGATTATTGAAAATGTCAGTGATAGCATGCTTTTATTTGAAGACGTGTAGGCATATAGCCTACGTTCTTTTACCATTTAAGAACTGAAAATATCATTCATTCATTCATTCATTCATTCATTCATTCATTCATTCACTCAAACACCAATTCTTTAATTTCTTCAAATAATCATGCCTTCATTCCTCCATTCATTAATTCTTTCATTCATCTACACAATTATTCCTCTATCATCAATTCGTTCATTCATCTACACAATTATTCCTCTATCATCGATTCGTTCATTCATCCATCCATTTACTCATTTATTTCCCCCATTCATTCGAAACAGTAACTCCTTCTTTCATTTGTTCATTCAACCATTCAGTAATTCTTTCATTCATTCATTCATTCATTCATTCATTTATTCGTCCTACACAAAAACAAATCATTTATTCGTTCATTCATTTTAAACCAAATCAACCCTGACAGACGAGAGAATGTTTATAGTAATGATAATGAAAACGAAGAAGACCACGTGCTGTTAAATATGTAATTCATAGCTGTGTATAATATGTAATACTTAACTTTTTAAACAACATCACGTGACCACTTTTTGCGTAGTTCTGACAACCGATGAAAACAAAATGTTTTAAATACAATGTTGATAAATCACGGGTTATCTCGAGGGTTTGTTATAAGAAATATCATAGTCCAATCGCTCAATTGGGTGTAGAAGAGTAGTTTCGTTTCATTTAGGTTCAAATCTCAATAGAAAGTGGCGTCGCTTCGGTTTCTATCTGAATAGAGAACCAGTTCCAAAGTGGAATTACTCAGAAATCTTGCGGAAGCTAGACATGGCTGCAAGAAAAAATGTGACACAGGTTGTAAAAAAAACGTGACACGGTTGCAAAAAAACGTGAAACTGTCACACTACTGTGTCCAAACGTCAAGCTCATTCTGAAGTTTAGATAGTCACCAAATATTATACTTTGTTCATGAAATACCTGAATATATTCTTATATAGAACTATTACTTTTATAAAAAAAAAATTTTAAAAAATTGCAACGTTTTGATAATGATACTCTTGTCCTTATCTAGTTTAGACTTGTTTGGTTTTGTTTCCTTTAAACAACCTAGTCTAATCCGATATTAACTATTTTACATTAATACAGTATCAATTCACTAGTGGGTAACCAAAGATAGCAATTACACCGGAAGTCGAGTCTAAATCCTATTATAAACCGGAAGTCAGTGATCGATCTCCGCACAAAATGACAATAAACAATCAACATTGATTGGCTGAATGATCACGACTGCCGTTATATCGTCGAGGGTAAATTTTCTTATTTCATTCACAATGCCTTGTCAATACCAGCATTCCTTTATAACCGGAAGTATAGCATATATCCGGTCAAATACTGAACCGGAAGTGAGTATGATGGATAGTACTAGGCTGAAGTAAATGTATTTGGACAGTTTACTGGATGCAGACGTTAACTTGTCAACAGGTACAACTAGATAAATGGTTGACAAACAACAAGATGACATAAAGAGTTAGGAAAAAAGATTGAATTCAGCGTTGAGAAAACGGAGATATTTAAAAAAAAAAAACAACTACAAAAAAAACATCTCTCACAGCAATCTGTTTGTGGAACAATTTGGCGACTCGGCTGTTTTCGTGGGCAGACGACACTTCAGAATGACAGCACGTGATAGACCAGACGATTAACGACTATTGAGTTCCAGTTTCCCGCCAAATTAGCTCCCTTGTGAGCGGACGGTGACTTCAATTAAACCCACTAGTTAATTACCTTCTTGGCCAAAACAAAACGCAATCTTCATTTTGCCCAGTTGTTGATTTATTGTGGCGATTTGGATCGTTATACATTAAGACATCGTCACCTTGACATGATCGAAACTATTCATTGATAAGGAGTTGCTATAATATCAATACAACCTACCCTTGCAGAGAAAAGCGTGACAAGAGGCAGTGATAAGAGGCAATGACAGGAGGCAGTGACAAGACGCAGTGATAAGAGGCAGTGACAAGAGGCAGAGGCAAGAGAATGTGACAAGACGCAATGACAAAACGCAGTGACAAGAGGCAGAGACAAGAGGCAGTGACAAGAGGCAGTGGCAAGAGGCAGTGACAAGAGGTAGCGACAAGAGGTAGCGACAAGAGGCAGTGACAAGAGGCAGTGGCAAGAGGCAGTGACAAGGGGCAGAGACAAGAGGCAGTGACAGGAGGCAGTGACAAGAGGCAGTGACAAGAGGCAGTGACAAGAGGCAGTGGCAATAGGCAGTTACAAGAGGCAGAGACAAGAGGCAGTGATAAGAGGCAGCGGCAAGAGGCAGCGACAGGAGGCAGTGGTAACAGACAGTGGCAAGAGGCAGGGACAAAAACGAGATTAGGGACAAGCTTCACTGCCTCATTTCTACGTTACAAGTGAAAAGTTCATCGATTCCAAAGTCGAGCTATAGTTAATTTACTTGAAACTCCTATTTAGATATTTTATGTCAATATAGCGGTATATCCAGTAATCTATCAAATACTTCGGGGAATGGAAACACTTGATCCTAAAAAATTCAAAAACTGAACATTAAGAAATTTGATGTAAAAAGTAGGTGTATAATATAGTGGTATGTGACGTAATTTATGGTAGAATAAATAATACTAGACATAGTACATGTGTAACTGTTTAATTATTATTACCCCACACCCGGGCCGATATCATATATGACGTCATACTGAGAACGTTATTAAAATTTTGAATAATAATATATTGTAAGCATATGGTTGGAATTAAAAATGTGTTAGGAGTAAACATCAGATCAAATTTGTTCAAAGAGATCATAAATTTTTATATATGAATTACATCTTTAAATTTTTAAAACAAATAGTTTTTTTCTGTACGATTCTTGACTTCAAACTTCATTTAGTCCAATAATAAAAGTTGCAAAATTCGAAAAGGCTTGTATAAATTAAAGACTTGGGTATCCCCTTTATATACATAACTGTAACCGAGCTAAAACTGTAAAAAAGTTTTGTTCGCTTTAAGATATGAATATAACTGTAGTCGACTTTTTTAGAATATTACTGGTATTTTTATATTTGTAAGTGTCAACAACTTAACTGTATTACAAATGGAAGCCATAAATGCCCTGATATACATAAGACCTCTTTAGAAAAGAACTGTAGACACGTTTATTAGAACATCACCGATAACTCTGACTGTAAATGAATTAACTGTTTAAAATAGTCGGAATGGACCCGTTTAGATACGAATATACACCATATTAGAATATTACTGATATATCTGTAGAACAGTAAACGAGCAGAGTTTAAATTAACGCTGATGATCCAGGTCTTTCTAACTTAAATACCAACATTAATCACTGTACAACTTGCTACATCTAAAACCTTTCAAAATGATCAAATTCAATCAATCGCCTTTCTGACTCAGTTGTCATTCATCCTGGCTTTCTTACATACAATCACACGCATGCGTTCTAAATGATGCGAGATGAACGGTAGCTGCACGCGAGATCCACGAGCTCACGAGTCAAGTAGTATCACTGAGAATTGTTTAATGTCGCGTGGCGCGTGCTGTGAAGAACACAGTCACTATCAGGACATTATATTTGAGTGAAAGAAAAGTTTGAAGTTGGTTTTCAATTGTTTTATGGTGTGTCATTTTATTATGATGACTTATTGTGAATAAACACGACTTCTGAACAGTCCACATATATCTAGGAAAGTCAGTTCCAAGTTTTTCGCTCTCTGAATGGAACAGATGGATTATCAACGTGTGTCATGAGATTACGGAGCGGATTATCGGAATTTAATCTAGTGTCGAAATGGCAGCGAGCCGGATAATCTGCCGACAGGGGTCAGGATGGGTCCTATTAGGGGTCATGACCCTGATGTTAGTGGGCATCAAAGCGGAAGTCAAGATGACGAGATTGAGCGACAGAGTTATGTCAACACGGTACGGAAAAGTTCGGGGAGTGCTTGTGGAATTTCCTAATCGGCATTTACGTACGGTGGAAGCGTATCTCGGTCTCCGATACGCCGATTTAAACCAAGGTGGATTACGATTTATGCCTCCTAAAAACCCCATGGAGAAATGGAAAGGTATACGGGTAGCTGTTGAACACCAACCGGTTTGTCCTCAACGTGCGGCTAAAAATGAGGATTTTGACCAGCGTCCCGACGGACGGGAAGGGCAGCTACGGAATATTAGTACGTTTATTGTAAAACAAACGGAGGACTGTTTAACGCTGAATATTTACGTTCCTATCTCAGGTAAGGCCAAGTTTGTTTACATTAAAGTGGCTTTACCTGCGTTAGTCCGAAGCTTGTGACAAAAACATATCTCTCATTTATTTTCGAACTTTCAACATGTTTGATTTTTAAAATTTGAAAGAAATTTTGTTTCTTTGATCTTGAAAGTGACGTGTCATTTTGTCATATCAATTCTGTAAGATGTCAAAACGGAAACCGAATTAGTAAGATAAACAAAGATAAAAAGATTGTAAAAGTATCAAAACAGTATTAGGTTTGTTTTGAAAATATGCAGGTATAGTCACTTCGATATTTACATAATATACATACAATTTGCATACTTCATTTACATACATAAATATATTCAATTTGACTTATTTCTTACCTTAACATATATATATTTCATTTGCATATTACGATTGCTCTTACAATACATACCCTGGATCTAATTAGCATACTAAGAACACACCCACCACATTTGCATATTGCTTATGCTTATATAACTCACTCAATCATATCACCTATTAGCATATTAGCCACACCCTCTGATATATATATTTAACTGATTTGCACAATGCAGACACATCCACTTCTTTGCATAGTGCAAATCATTTTTGTAAATAAGCAAATTACATTTATCATTTACATAACGTTAACTAAATTTGCATATTAGACACACGCCCACAAACCAAGAGGCGTACCGCATATGCCATAATCTTAGACAAATTAGTACAGAAGAATTTGCATAACGTAATTTGCATATGAGATACACGCCCACAATCTAAAAACGTAACCAATGCTACACGGTAGCCATTTGGAGATAAATTAGTACTGAAAACTAAGATATCGTTACTAGATCTTCAGCCAGCCTGGTCATTATTCATCATTAGTCTTTATGTCCATAGCTATCTATCCCTCTCTGATTAAAATCTGGCAACTCATGACTGGGCCTTTGTTTTAGAACAGGTCGACTTGGAAAGATAATAAATTACGAAGTGGTATATTCATAAACCTAAGGGTTGACGTATGAATGAGTTTAAGGAAAGGATTTGTTAGAGGGATGGGGTGCATGCCATGTTTGAAAGATGTGGAACACCCTTTCTACAAGCGACAACTTGGTCTTGAGAACAGATCGACTTGGAAAGTTAACGAATTTAGAAATGATACTTCTGTTCTTCTATCTATGTCTATTTCATGATGTTTTAAGTGTCTTATAAACATGGGCAATAAGGGAAAGGAATGAGTTTGGAGAGGAGAATAGATTGTGATCAGTTTTAAAGAACAACTACCCACAACTGGACCTTGTAACAGATCGACTTTAAGTTAATAAATGTAGAAATAGTATATCTATATACCTCTGTATCTTATATTCCTTTAAACAATAAATGATACTGTAACATCCTCACCACTAGCGATATCTTGTATCAGACTAGGAAACGATCATTGACGATGGGAAGTTATTATATTATCTTGGAGTCCGTTTTTACAAAAGTAGGGGCGAATTAAGAGTTTTTATCTGGTAGAATTAAATTGAAAGGATTTGTGTTGCGACTGGCCAAATGCAACCACAACGACAACCACAACTTGTATCTGTTATATTCATTCTATAACTAAGACGATAAAGGCAAGTTTACGGTCAATAGCGATAAGAATCAGATACTAGTTCAACCTTTAAGCTAGAAACACGACAAATCATGCCTTTAGCCAATTAATGGTACAAGTCGAAGAGTGGCTAGAAGTTATATAAAAACTATCTAACCGTCGGGAATTCTGAGTTATTCTGAATCCAAACAGTCCTTTTCTTATCGGTTGTTTTTCCAAGTCAAACAAAAATAACACAATTGTCTCTGAAATCACAGTCGGGTTATAGAATTTACAATTAACAAAGAACAGAAACTATGTTTTTAATTTTTATCGTGATTTTAAATCAAAGTAGTTCAGTTCGATAAAGTCTCAATCTTAATCATAAGCCAGTCTGGAGGGTGTAAAGTTGCAGATAGAGAGAAATATCAACTAGCTGAACTGAATCCTTTCAATCAAGACTCCATGGTTACAGACTACAACAACCAACCACATTTTATTCTATCTACCCAGGGTAAACTCAGTCCCTTGTATTCAGCATCAATTATATAAAAACAATTGTACCTATAAAATGATGAATAACATCCTGACCCACCCCTGACCCCTTTTAGTCCTCCCCTCTTCTCACAAACCCCCAGGTTTACCCATCTCTCCTCCCCGACCCCCACCCTCTGGTAGTATCTAACAGGAAAGTTATCTGGGTGTAATAATTTGTATAAAGACAGTTAAAGTAATAAAGAAATGATTTATCGTCAGTCTTTCTGATTAATTCACATATAAACTCGACCATTTATATTCCTTATTTACACTGCACTTCTACAAAATATGACCATCTTTGCAATTTGCCACGTACGACATTTACCAAGATACGCGTTCGAAAGTTTCCAAAATACACGCGCGACCGTTTCCAAAATACACGTACGACATTTACCAAACTACACGAACGACAGTTTCCAAAATACACGTGCGACCGTTTCCAAAATACACGTACGACAGTTACCAAGATACGCGTACGACCGTTTCCAAGATACGCGTACGACCGTTTCCAAAATACGCGTACGACAGTTTCCAAAATACACTTACGACCGTTTCCGAAATACACGTACGACCGTTGCCAAAATATACGTGCGACCGTTTCCAAAACACACATATGGTCGTACAACTGCTACCGAAATATGCACGTGCGATCCCAGCCCCTCATAATTCTATTGATTTTATCATACCAGAAAGAACACTGCAGACGCACGACGGTGGAACATCGTAATAGACGCAAGACCTATGTATTTCCTACTCTGTAGAATGACTAACATATCCCATGCTTGGTATCAGGAAACCAGGAAACGCACGGTCTTATTCTATCATATCAGGAAGATGAAAAGAGACGCACGACTGTGGAATAATCCAATAACATTTTGACGACTAAATACGACTAAGTAATAAAATGGCGATTACTGCTAAATTATTAACCAATCAAATGTCAATAAACTTGGTTTAAACTGATTAATTTCCAATTACAGTTAAGCTGACTACAGACTACAGTTAATGTGTCCGGAATACTGAATTAGTTTGTAACAAATTACGTGAAATGAAGGAAGTAGGGCAAATTAGATGTGGTTTGATTGGATGATTTGAATTTTGATCGAAGTTCGCCTTAGATTTTATGAAATCTTGACATATATCTTGACTAGACATGCTTACTTTATCCAAAAAACTCATCATCAAAATATTCTGTAACGTTCTCTATTGTTTTGAGGGGGCACTTTTAAACCCCTATTCTAAAGTTTTTCTTTATCTGGACCCGACTTGACTGTAGATATAGGATTATTTGGTGGTGTTATAGTAACCTTTAGTTAAATATATTCCCGAGGCTTGGATATTTTTGGGAACTAGCCTCGATTAGATCTTTACTCCGACTACAAAGTAGTAGGCTTATTCTATCAATGTGTTTCGGTAGCTTAGAGTAAACAGAAAACAGATATGGCGCCATTTTAAAAATGCCAATTTTGGCGCCATGTTTTACTTCCGGTCTGTCGGTTAGTGTGTTTGTTGAATTGTAGCTATCGTGGACTAGGTATTTGTTGATAGTTATAGTGGTAGTTGGATCAGGAACGATTTGATGGTATGGTAAGTGAGTTAGGTAGTTAAGAAGTTTATGTAGTTGTGATGTTATACAAAATACTATCTTAAAAACAATAATGATATTGATCAGTATTAATTGAGTAATATTAAGAGTTGATTAAAATAATAAACACGAGAGATTGAAACCTAGATACGCCATGATTTACTCTACCCTCTTATTGTTTATTATAACATGTTTTATGTAAATATTGCATCTGTATACAGCACAGTCAAACTTGTGTTTACTTATTATATGTTTTTAATCAATTACAAAAATAGTGCCCAATACATCAATTTCTATTATAAAGGCTATGTTTAAAGTAAATAATAGACCTGCATGCCGTACTGAAGCTGTCTATTATTAAAATTCCGCTTGAGGTCCGTAGCTACAAGAGGGAAAATTCTGACAACCGACTAATTCCATTACTGCAACCAAATACTATATACCATTACACTTCCAGACGATAAAGTCTGGCTACGAGCTTGCTTCGCTAGCGTACTGCAACATATTCAGCTTTACGGAAACTGCCGAAGATTGCCGAATGATATGCAGTACTGAAACTAACTATCTGACTGGTCAGTTGTATTGGTGTAAAAATTGTTCTGAAAATATCAAAATAAAGTGTTAATGTTTTGATTCGGATCTAGATATTATCTTTACTGGACTAGACTTGGGGGCTTTGTCTTGTAGTTATGTTAGGTAAGGTATTGCCCCCTCCCGCTCACTCCTCCCTTCACCCCTTCCCCCCTTTTTTATCTCCCCTTCCGCCCCACCCCCTTCTCCCAATCCCCATTGAACCAAGCTATGATGTAAATTACCTGTATAATAAAAGTCGTCAGTATATATATCTATATCTATATATATTAACTTGTAAACATGATATCAGTTTATTTATTTACCAGGTATATTACATATTACATCGTCTGTCTTTTCTGACATATTTACACATTTCACTCTTATAATCCATTCTTCTTACTCGTTACAGTTAGAATTGATTAGATTTTAATAGTCTACAGTTGTATATCGTCGTCTACATGCAGTTTTTAAACTTGTTATGACTATTCGATTTACTGTTAATTTAATTTTCAAGAGATTTGAACCCTGGGCACTATAGTAATGGACTATTTCTCTATAGGTTTCGTGTATTTCTGGAAGCATTTGATTTGGCTATTGTACTCGCTGTTTGAAGAATTTCGAACTCTTAGCACCATTGTCCCTGAGTATGTTTGAATAGTTGTATATCGTCGTCTTCGTGCAGTTTTTAAACATGTTTTGACTATGACACCATCTTTTTAATTCCAGATGGTTTGAAGAGTTTCGAACTCTCAGCACTATTGTTTCTGAGTATGTTTTGATATATTTCATCCTCGTCACTTGCAT